CTTCTCGATACCAATCCGCAAGCATGTGGCCTGTCGTCTGGATCTCCCCAACAACTCCTTCTCGTCGTGGGAGTAAGTGGAGAAGTTCTTTCGAGACTCTTCGGTCCCACATATTTGGTCGTCACAGGCCTGCCGGCCACGACAGCTGCGAATCGCTCCTAGAGCCACCAACATTTGAGACTGCGAGCATCGCCCGCCAATACAACGGAGCTCGCAAGGTGGACACCCGGATCAATCGCAAGGCTGTGGCAGATCAAGACGAAGAACACGGCATGGGCAGACACTATCGAATATGAGGAGAGCTTCAAAAGTGAGGTCAGGTCCCACCCCCTGCAACCCCGCAGTCGATGTAGGCGACGATTGAGTCTCGGAAGCCTGTGCAGGATATTTTGGGTCGATCGTGAGATAGAGCGTTTCTAGCAAACTCTCATTGTTCCTGGCGAGCGCAGCATTGGCCTCGTGAAGCTGTGCTAATTGAGAAACTAATTCACCCGTGGCATCGCGAAGCTGGCTGTAAAAGTGTTGCAAAGTTGTACGAACCGAAAGACATCTCCCTTGAATATCGCGATCGATATGAATGAATGCATTAGGGAGCTGCACTGTTATCAGTTCCATAGCGTTCTTCACAATCTTTAGCTTACCATGTCTGTCACCTCTGATTCTGGCAGCATGGTTTGTAGATCGTGAATCTCATCATGTGTTCTTTGTGCTTCATTTATATACGTCCTCGACTCATCCGCCTTTTCCAGCGGCTCTATCGTCTGACTCTACGTCGCAGTGTGCCAAGTAATCGTACTCACCTCCTCCTTGCTTATGCGTGGTGCCAAAGATAAATTTTGCATAAACTCCCTGCGCCCTCCTAAGGGCGTTGACTTTCAGCTATTTTATGTGTTTATCGATTTATTTTAGTTCTGAGGGCGACTGGGTACTTCTTCATAGTACAGTACTAGTTCATAAGTTCCCGAGGTCGTGCCGTTTTTGAGCATCACGTTCCAAATTACTATGAGAACTCCATATAATTACGCAACACCCACGTCTCTGATTACATGTAGACTTTATAGCTAGCTCTAAAAATACATAATCTGGTGATAGCTCCATGGTGTTGACTTAATATTTCGTATGCCACCCTTCAGCTGCGATTACTGCCTCACAACGCGACTTCATACTCCTCCATAAGGCTTCAAACCTCTGCTCAGGTATCGCATCCCACGCCTGTATACATGCTATACCTATTGCTTCCTTAACTTTATCGATAGACCCTCCAGCCTTATCCACGTCCGAATCACG